TGCCTTGTACTTTTGTCTGTTGAATTGTGCGAAGAAGACCTCGGCCCAGATGAACCCGTGGTGAACTTTCGTCCGTCATGTGACGGCTATCGTCAACACCGGAAACCATCATTCACGAACTATTAACCAAAAACATTAAATCGAGAAAGGTGGCCAGCTGACATCCAACTTGCTTCTTGTACCTCAGTTTGCGATCTCGATCAGGCATTCCATGATTTGGTTGGCTGACGTATGCTTGTCCTACATGCATGTAAGTGGATAAACGGGGATGTGGTCACAACTTTTGTAGATAAACTGAGATATGGTCCAGCAGTCGTGCGTCTTGTTACAGCTCCTTGGATGTGTTTTTGTGTGTGTATGCAACAACCACGAGTTGGTTGGCAAGTTTAGATGCAAAAACACACTTATCTTTCTTCTTTCACTTTCCTTCTCTCTCTTATTCTATTTAGAAGCCAGTGCTAGTTCTGATTTATTTTCCTACATTCATTCCTCTCATTCAGGATACTTTTTGTTTTATTAATTTCAATTGACTCTCTGATCATACGTTTAGTTGTGAAATCATCATATCCGGAAAAGCGTTGGGATTTAGATCACTCGATCTGGTGTTCTGTAGTGACCACATGTTCAGCCACCTTCGATTTGTGAATTCATAAACCTTGGCAGGCGTCTTCTGTATCCCCCACATAAACACTACCATATGGGCACAAAATGTTATAACAATATGATCTGCAGAGGACGTCGGAAGATTGTCCAAAAGAAGACATAATCAAAGAAAGCGTTATTGTTTCTTTATACCTTTTCTTGACACTTCAATTTCTCAATAATTCGCCAGTCCTTCTTGAAAGCTTGCAGGATAGTGGCATCAGGAACCTGGATGAAGAGTTGTCTAATTTCTTTTTTTGGCCAAAATAATGGTTTTCCTTCACCCTATTTCTCAATATTTTGAAATTATTAACACTTTATCCTACAGAATAATTGTTCTCAACTAAGATTTTATTAGCCTTTATAAATCTTATTCTTCGAGACATCCAGTAAATCAGTTATGTGAAATGTATTCACCTTATTTTGTCGAAGGTGATGAAAAACTGTTAATTGATATGGAAAAATGCCTGGCTTTCCTTCAAATTCATGCGGAGTAATAGTTAAAATGTTTAGATTACGCTCTGAATTGCCATGGTTTGACTCCCGTTCTCTTCCACATACACTATAAATTTGACTCCCAATTAACATTGATTACATTACGCCTACCTGAACACCATAATTATGGTTTTAGAAGAAACCAAAAATGAAACCAGCATTTATGTGTTTTATACATACATCTTTATTCAGTTTGCTCCCTTTACTAACTAGACATCTAAAAAGAGTAACTTATTGTCCTTTTCTAACTCCATAATGAATTTAGTTGCCTCATGTGGTAGTGTTTATGTGGAGTAGACTAGTCAACCAATACAGAAGAGGCCGTCAGAATAGAGAATCGCCTACAAAGGTTTATGAATTCAGAAATCGAAGGTGGCTGAACATGTGGTCACTACAGGACAACAGATCGAGTGATCTAAATCCCAACACTTTTCCAGTTATGGGGATTTCACAGCTAAACGTATGATCAGAGAGTCAGTTGAAACTAATAAAACAAATAGTATCCCGAATGAGAGGAATGAATGTAGGAAACTAAGTCAGAAATATCACTGGCTTCTAAATAGAACGAGAGAGAGAAGTAAAGTGAAAGAAGAAAGAGAAGACCCGACTAAGCTGGAGTGTGTTTTTTCATCTAAACTTGCCAACCAACTCGTGGTTGTTGCATACACACACAAAAACACTTCCAAGGAGCTGTAACAAGACGCACGATTGCTGGACCATATCTCAGTTTATTTAAAAAAAGTTGTGACCACATCCTCGTTTATCCACTTACATGCATGTAGGACAAGCATACGTCAGCCAACCAAATCATGTAATGCCTGATCGAGATCGCAAACTGAGGTTCAAGAAGCAAGTTGGATGTCAGCTGGCCACCTTTCTCGGTTTTGTGTTTTTTGGTGATTGTTCGTGAATGATGGCTTCCAGTTTTGACGATATCCGTCACATGATGGACGAAAGTTCACTACGGGTTCATCTGGGCCGAGGTCTTCTTCGCACAATTCAACAGACAAAAGTCCAAGGCAACCCGCCTTTGATTTTCGGTGTGACCAATCTACTAATCCCTACTACCCGCCTTCTCAAACGAGATCAAAGGTATGCTATTATCAATCTAGTAAGGGATTGTTTGAAACCCAGCTCATCTTCATATCTCAGAAGTCAGTTTTTACTTCCAGCCAGACTGGCAGAAGAATCCAAGATCCACGAATTGTTTCGAAACCTCATAATTCATTGCGACATTAGTCTCACTTCAGATGTGATTTTTTAGAGGTTTGGCTATCCTCGAAAGTCAAATCTACTCGATGACCCACGGATACTGATGGCTGACCATTGCCTCATGATGAACATGACCAGATTTCTAATCCTGTTGGAGTTGCTTATAATATAATAATAATACTAATGAGGATGGCGATTAAACTGCAGTCAATTTTGGATGCGAAGTTCTTTCTACAAACAAGCCAGACTTCTTCCCAATCACTTGATCCTCAAACGAATCAAGTTCTTATTCAGCTTCTACTGATGTTGTTGAAACCTACTCATTCTGTCTTTAGAAATTCAACCTTGCTGGGGAATGTGATCCAGAAATGTGTGTGTGTATGTTTGTGCTTCTGAGTCAGTAAATTTAGTGTGTTGGAAAACCTGCGATCAAGTCTGGATAAGATCTAGGTTTTCAGACCACCAGTGAATTACATATATTCATCTACCAGTCATCTTATCCCTTCAATACACCTCATATATCTGATCTACTGGTAATCTCGAAAGCCTACTTATAAACGAAAGCATAAGTAATACAGTCGATTTTTATAGCAAATACAACTTTGCTTCCACAGCAATCCCAGCTCTCCTTAAAATTCACATCTTCCCCGTGACCCAAAGGCACTGTTGTCGTTCGAGTCCTGCTGGGAGTTCTGATGAGACCCGTTCAGACGAGGTCAAAACTGTAGTCCACTTCGACCTGGATGCGAATAATTCTTGTGCAAGCAAGACCATGTGAATTTCAATGAAGACTTACGATCTACTCAAGCGATTGTGAGAAAATGGTCAACTACCAGTCCTCTTATCACCTGAAACAAAGTAGTGTGAATGCTTTACTCTATTCATCCTGCGAAAGTGGACCATATGGACGAGACACACTGATGGTTTCAGCAAGAAATTACGGCTTTTGTGAGCAATTCGACCCAGTCCTGAATGTGGTCAAGGCAATTTAGCGTGTGGTGCCTTTCTACAACGTTGTAGTTCACATTCCACTTACCAGCAGTCCGTGGACCGCCAGTATCTTGAACAAGACATTCTTGTGAAGACTTTCCTTTCGTGTGAAATTGCGTGATGAAGAAATGTGTTGATTGATACCACCAGAAGACGACGACTGATTCGCGTTTTACTGTACCTGTTTGGCTCTAATACGCCGTTCAGCTGGACGCAGTCCTCGAGCTGTCCCACTTCGTTTCGGGTGAAAATGGGATGAGCCTTCGTTCGTCAACTTAGTTGACAGAAATCACGACAATTGGAGCTGTTGCTTGGAAAAGTTGGGTTTTCAGGAATCTCTTATTTCAACTTTTCTTGACTTGAATATGGTTGTAAGGGTAATACCCTGTTGTGATGATACGACGGACAAAAGGTCCACACATTCTCACCAGAATCGAAGGCGATTGCCTCGGAGACAGCACCACCAAGAATGTTCCAGTAAAGTCAATCGACAGTCGATCAAGAGGAATTCGCTGTCGTCTTCTGGTAGGATCAACCTCCGAATCTCGTTCACTCGAAATGGGAATAAGCTCAACAGATTCAAGTTAGCACTAATTCACACAAACTATCAGTCTATATCCTACATTTCATATTAAAATCAAACGGCTTCTGCGTCGTATTCTGGTGAGATCAAAGTTCGAATACAAAATAAACCTTCCACAATCATGCAATCTCGAGAGATTAATCAAAATTTATTTCTTCTTCATACATACTGTAAGAGTGCAGAGCAAATCTGTTGGAACAAGCTGACAGGATGTTAGGCTGTCAAAAATTGGTGGTTACTTGTTGTCCAGGCTACCCCAAAGTCCCATATACTGTCCTAGGGAGGGTTAAAGCGCTGATGGGATCACCAAAATTAGACTTTTTCCTATTGGATCCTGTTTAAGGTTTGATCTCTCGTGAATTAGGCGTTTCTGAACTGGATCCTGTCCAACCTGACTTGGGTATTTTGAGAAAAAAACTCTACTATCAGTCCTTAACTGACTACTATTTTTTTTTAATAATCAGAACAACTTTTGGTAAAGCAAGATAGTTTTGCCACCTACTTATACGGATTATAAGTAGTGTAGCCATTTGTACTATAAATTGCACTTTTGCCTCAATGCAGCACGTCACAACGAAGTACACGGCTCGGTTTTTCAACCCATCAAACACGACAGTCAAATATGAATGTGATAAAACCTTTTGTGAGGCAGATCTGAGTGAACTTAACTGACCACGTGAGGCCTGCACAATTGAAAGTTTAATCGTTTTGATTGACCGAGGTTGACTAAGTTGTTATGGAATATAAGATTGAATAATGTTGTCTCAGCTTGACCCTGTTTAATCTGCGAACAAATTTTTTTATCATGATGTCCCCGTTTTTGTCCGGAAGATAGACACGTATTTACTTGATGAAGATAGAGATAACCTCTAATTCCACCTACTTAAATTGTCTTTTTCCCTCTCTTTTTACAGAGCGCAACAGACGAGCGGGTATTCCAAAGAACGACTCGGACAAGAGGCGTGCTTCGACAATTGAGGTATCCAAAAGTCTGAATTTACAAATACTGTAAACTGCAAGAAAAAGCCCAATTCGCAGGTAGCAATTAAGGTCGCTCTTTGTGTCCCATCAAAGTGGATCCTCGATCCTGCGACGTACAAGAGCGTGCATTTACTCAAGCCGCTTCCCGGTAGAATGAGGTCGCATCTGCCGCCCTCGTTCGGGGACACTCACATCATAACCCGCCTCATCGTTGATCGAAAATAGAGAGGGTGTCTGGCGCCAGATAGTTTAAGGACATATTTCGATGGGATTTAGAAAGTTCTTCACACTTTCTGACCACTTTCTTGGACTACTAATGTCCTGTCGGGTCGCAAAAAGTGCACTTTTTCAGCCAGAAGCCAGATGGGGAAATAAAGCGAAAGGAAATTCAACTCACATTTAACTACTTTGAAGGCCTAAGTCCTTATTGAAGAAACCGAATGAACATGAGAAAAAACCATATGACGTCAGAAGCTATGTTTCAGGTTTAGTTTTGCCGGCAATAAGTGAAACTCACGAATCAAAGGAAATCAACTATCAATCCATCAAGCACGACTTTAAACGACTACAGCTGACTTGGATTTTTATTTTTCGAATTGAGTATTGTTTTAGTGACTACCAGTAAATCAGTAGTATGAGATGTATTCACCCAATTTCGTGTAAGGTGATGAAGGACTGGTGGAAGAATAATTTTTCCACAATGATATAAGTTGAGCTGACGTTTCCGTTGTTGGAAAATTCTTCTTCTGCTACCAGTCCTTCATCACCTTAAACGAAATTGGGTGAATACATCTCATACTACTGATTTACTAGTAGTCACGAAAAAAATACTTAATTCGAAAAATAAAGTACAGTAGTCGATTGTTATAGCAGATATACGTTTGCTTCATCGACGATTCCACCAAAAGAATATGATATGGCAAAAAGTCCTGGCCTACATTGGATTTTTAGTCAAGATATATTGAAGCTCGTCAAGCCTACCCTATCGGAACTAAGAGATGGTCGCCATTTCATCAGAGTCCGATAACTGGAAATATCACCACTCTTAAACCATCCTGTTTGTATGCCAAGCTAAACCATTTTCTAGTGACATTACCGGTACTGATATTATCCAGTTTGTTGTTGAGTCGGCTTTCGAGGCTACCTGTAGATCATATTTATGAGATATGTTCGCCCTATTTCGTTAAGGCA